TAGGCCTACACTGCAGGCAAGGGTCAGGACTAACATTTAGCATGTTATTAATTTTATTACCACTCTTATATTCTCTGAAATTTTATTTTAATTGAGGGTGACTAGGAAAAATTAATAACTTGGAAGGGAGGGGGTGCAACCTGCCACACGCTTCTACCTATTGGTTGCTTTGATCCATTGCCGAAATATTATGGCACCTATCACCCCCCCCCCCCCCCGACCACGTATACGAATCGACACCCCTGGCGGATGTTATTAATATTTTGGATCATAGCATTGTTACGAACTTGCCCTTGTCAGACCTAGTCTGCACTCACAGACTGTGTTTCCTTTATAATTTCTCATTTATACGCATATTTCTATTCTCCTTCCTTGAAATTAATTGTGAAGTCTTTGATCATGGACCAAAGTCCTTACAAACTAAAAGGATCTTAAAGAGCATTGTGCATGCCATTATTTTAAAATGGCATGACGCTGTAGACTTTACATCGTCTATTGCGTAGAAGCTAAACACAACTGAACATTTATTTACAGAAATTGACAAAAAGGCTGAGTTTTGTTTGGGGATGCGAGAGAGTCGAGGTACAAATGGGAATGGTTGAAACATGTTTTGTTTGTTCTTGTTATTGTCCTTACAAACTAAAAGGATCTTAAAGAGCATTGTGCATGCCATTATTTTAAAATGGCATGATGCTGTAGAAATGCAACTCTTCTGGAGTTTTGACTTTACATCGTCTACTGCGTAGAAGCTAAACACAACATTTATTATTCCTTTTCACTTGATTCATTTAATTCAGTAAAAGGGAAAAGACGGAAGACCACATTTCCCCCCCCCCCCCGTGTTCCTATGAAGGGACAGGGGTCATTGGCTTACTATCAAGAATTCAAACCCTATCAACGAGAAATTGGAGTTCTAGTAAAACGGGACTTAATAAAATATTGTTGGCCTTTCTCTTCTTTATGTCAGTAAAGGGAATATCATACAGGGCATAGCCTATATATCCAGAAAGGGATTGCTTCTCAAATACACTTGTATTCAAAATGTGCCTAAAATAGACAAAGGGATTGGACCAAACATTCATGCCACATGTTTGTGAAGCCCTATCCACCGATTGATCTCTGTGTGCAGTGAACATGATTTTTAGCACCGCTGAATCAATTATATTATACTGTAATGATTACGAAATATCACAGCTTACATGTACTACATATTATTTCCCAGCAGCTTCCAGATGACTTTTTTCACAGTGTAATCGCATGACCGGTACTCAGCTTCGTCTATGATTCGATATTCATGATGTATTATCCGATTTGGCATGAATATCATATAATTCCTGTCATTTTGGCTTAGTCTCAATCATCTGTCTCAGACTGGCCTGTTGCCAGGAGGGTTCATTGTGCTAATTATGCGACGATATTACCTAACACTCAACACATCAACTCACTATCAATTTGATAGGGTAAACTGCACGGTAAAGAACGTAAATATTGAAGAACATAGCGAAAAGAAACTGAAATCCTCACATTTGTCTCATCGTTCATTCTTACCTACTTTTATAAATAAATAATGATCCTCACTATTACTATCAGTCAGGGGCGTTGATCCCGGGGATACGGGGGGACACGTCCCCCTTCGATTTTGTTTTAGGGCGATCATCCGTCCCCCCCCCCCCCCCAAGAAAATTTGCAAAGTGCAAAATAAATGTATAGCAAATACTGACTTAAGACTGCAACACACTTTAAGGCTCTAGAGGGCCCAAGAATGCAGCGTTTAGACAAAAACAACAACAAATCTTTTCGCCCGCTAGCTACGCTCCGTCCCATAATATCCTTCAAAATGAAAAAGTAAATATTGTAGGAAAGTGAAGTGTGAAAAAAGGGTTTTTTTTTTAATACTATAGTTTTAAGGAATGAAATTGTTTTATACAACAAAATTGTAAGGGGTTAGTCACTTTCATCACCTTCACCCCTCGCGTCCGCTATGCTCACTTGCACTGGCATACTGATCAGGGTAGTTGCCCCCCCCCCCCCCCCCAACAAAAAAAATAATAATAATAACAATAATAATAATAATAATAATAATAATAATAATAATAAATAAATAAATAGATAATTTTTTTTAAATAAATAAATAATTATAATTCAAACGTGATTTATTTCTAATAAGATACCAGGGATTTACAAATGTTGCTGAAATGGCATGATTTTTAACTGAGTTTCCGGGGGCTCTGCTCCCTTGACCCCACCAAGGGCCCAAAGGCGGGCCCCTGGTTGCTCATCTGACCGTAATTAAATGCCTTAAACCCGTGAGCTTCCGGGGACCCTGCCCCCTGGACCCCCCCCCCCCCCCCTAAGGGCCCTAAGGCGGTCCTTGGATGCTCATCTGATCGTAATATAATGCCTAAAACCCCTGAACTTCTAGGGGTCTGCCCCCGGACCCAACTCCATTTAGTGACTAGCATGCAAGTGTAAAAAATAAGCTATCAAAATATGTTCATCTGACCGTAATTAAATGCCTAAACCCCCTAAACTTCCGGTTGCTCCGCCCCTGTAGCCCGCGCCAATTTACGCTCCACTTGCTTCGCTGGCTTTGCTCTAGCTGATCGTAAATACTTGAGCCCCCCCCCCCCCCCCCCCCCCCCCCCCCCCCACTTTTAAAAACATTTCCTGGGGCTTGCATGTAACATGACTGTTAGAGTGATGGTGATGCGGATTTGTTTTCTTCCTGCCCCCCCCCTTAAACGTTTTTTATCATTCCGTCACTGCTCCCTCGGATTTCACCCCCCCCCCCCCCCCGGTCATGAAAATAAATCGCCGCCCCTGCTATCAGTATTGTATTGTATTGATGTGATCCCTGTAAAACCTGCTCTCAGTTACAAGCTGCTTTTCAGCGAGGACGTTAAATCGTTGTAGTAGTAGTAAAAGTTCCGTCATTATCAACATCATCATCGCAATCACCATCATCATCATCATCATCGTCATCATCACCATTAGCATCATCGCCATCATCATCGTCATAATCATCACCATCACCATCATCATAAAGCGCTATAAAAGAACGAACTATTATTATTATTATCATCGCTATCATTAGTATTATCATCGTGTTTAAGCAAAACAATGAATCAGCGTAAAGTTTATTCGAGATGGGTTGGGATTTTTCTGTGTGACAACGCCTACTGTCTGTAATCTTTGCTTGAAAAATGACTGAAATTTTCAATCATTTGGGAATCGCAGACAAAAAGCACTGTATGGTGTCCGCGCTCGCGCAAAGAACATTTTAACACGTAAACCGATGGGTATCGCAGCAAAATTTTAATATTTTCATGGTAGCCGGAATTTTGAGGGATCTCACTCTTGGACTATAACGGTGTTGGGATTTTTCGTTTTTTTACGGGAATGACTAAAATTACGACTAATCACGACAATTTCGACCAATCAGATGGCTGGATTTCTTAAGTGAGGTATATAAACTTTAATACTACACTTCTTTATTCTATTTAGATATCACATTGCGTGTAATAAAGAGTACATAGCAAAAGCCATAACAAATGAAATTGCAAATATTAAGAAAGAATTATTGCTCGCATAAATAAACACATATTGGGGGGGTTTTTTTTCTGATAATAACATATTAGAAGAAAAAAACAGTATTCAGCACTTTAGAATCTCATTATGTTCGTTTTATCCAACATTTATCACCCAGCGTTACGAGGTATAAAGTCCAAGGTCTTTCGAGTTTATTCTTTATTGTTCTTTTTTTCTACTGTTTGCAAACTATTACAGAAGATTAGTCCTGTAGAAGTTTTTCAGACCTGGAAAAGTTGATAAGTACAAGGTCTTTTTGTTGATTTGTGTTCTAGATGAGTATTGAAGTAAATTCAGCTTGGTTGCCAGCTTGGCAACCTTGGGAAACTTTTTTAATAGCCATATAAGCATAATCATCTAATTAGCATGTGTAATAATGTGGCCTGAAAACATGGATAATACGACTTTTTAATGATTTTCTATGACGAGGAATTCATTTATGACACCAGTTGTTTATTCCAAGTAATGCAATTAAATAGCATAATTAGCATATATACAATGTATGGACTTCATTGTCATTGTTTCAGGCGCGAAGCCAGGGGGCGGTGGGGGCGGTCGCCCCCCCCCCCCCCCCCCCAAAAAAAAAAAAACGCCAGCCAAAAAAAAAAGAGAGAGATAAAAAGAAGAAAGGAAGAGGACGTAGGAAGAAAAAGGATTAAGAGTCTAGAATGGTACAACGAATCGTCTTCTTTCTCTAATAATTTAATGAAACGTCAAAGCATCCACGCTTCGCGCAGTAGGGGGGCGGAAACTGAATTCAGATAAGGATTAAGAGTCGAGAACGGTACAACAAATCGTCTTCTTTAGATCGTAATTATTTAACTGTTATAATTGTGTTCATAAGTTTATATCATTTCTATTATATCTGATTTTGTCATCATTGTATACGATATGTATTTCTGTTTATTCATGCATAATTAAATCTTTAGATTAATCATGTAACTTATTGTATAATTCATTGATGTAAAGCGCATAGATAATTTATTATTATGCGCTATATAAAAATGACTTTATTATTATCATTATTCTTTCTTTAATAATTAATGAAACGTCAAAGTTTCCGCGCTTCGCGAGGGAGGGGAGGGGACTGAATTCAGACAAGGATTTAGAGTCGAGAACGGTAAAACGAATCGTCTTCTTTCTCTAATAATTTAATGACACGTCAAAGCTTCCGCGCGGGTGGGAGGGGGAACTGAATTCAGACAAGGATTAACAGTCGAGGACGATCCAACGAATCGTCTTCTTTCTCTACTAATTTAAAGCTTCCGCGCTTGTCATTATTTCTAACACTTGAAAATAAAAAGATACAAAAATGTCCAAAGTTAATAAAAAGAAACGAACACCTCGCCAACATGACAGACTCATTTTCGAATCATGCTATCCATTTAATGTAAAACAATTTCATTCCAACCTTGAATTTTGCTCCCAAACCAGGGTTATTTTATTACTGGAAAAAATTACAAACTGACAATACAATGGCACTGTATATGGCGCATGAACCTAAAAAAAAAAGGATTATATAATGTTCGTTTATGTTGGCCGGACTGAGTAAAGTACTAACATAACGCATGTTTGGAGCATGATTGCCTGATGTAAGACTGTATCAGCAACTTGCCCAGTCTTTGACGTGCTATATTATGACATTGTACAAGCAAAATGATAAGTACAATCACTGACTTGAATCAAAATGACGCTTCGTGTGCAACGTGTACAAGGATTTAGGTATATGTGCGTGTGTGTGGGTGTGTGTATGTGTGGATATACATATATCGACATACATTTAGTAGATATATATGCTTATACCAGAAACACACGAAAGGAGCACTTAACAAGCGCAATATATGTATATGTGTGTTCATATGTGAGAAAGAGAGAGAAAAATAACGAGAACAAAGATAACAGAAGAACAGCAAAATATAAAAATAAACATAAAACATTTCTAGATTCCTTTCACTACCAAAAGGAATATCGTTCAAATTTTTTCATAACCCCGTTTATGTTCCTGTTTGGATGTATCATTATTTGAAGCCCATGGTTGCTCATATCCAGATGCAAAGATGAGGTAGAAAAGGGATCCAAACGTGGTTACTCCAAAAGAAATGTAGAACACATATTGCCACCCCTGCAAGTTTCTCTGTCGAGAAAAGTAAGAAAAGGCGAATGAGAGTAAAGGCTGACTTGAGGGTGGAGAGTAGATGGAATCACTATAAGTCTTTTTAAAAAATGAGAGAAACGAAAGACTTCATGCATGGCTGATTGTCAATGAAACGGAGTTAAGTCTTTTGTTAACTCTGTTTGTTGCTACGGAAGGCACCCAGTAAAAACGAATTCGTTTGATAGAATTATGGAAATGCAAGCACTACTTTAAACACACATAACTTTGTCATTCCTTGCTCATTTTTCCTGATTGAGGTGTCATATGAAAGGGCAGAACCTCAACTTTCTGGAAATTTGATTTTCTCCTTGAAATTCAGATATGGACCGCCAAATGATTTTTTGGTTTCCTCTCTTCAAATTCATTTTAATCACTCATGCACCGAATGAAAGAGGAGGATCTAAGCTTTCCAAATATGTGTCATTTAATAATTATAAATGTGACTAAGTTATGATAAAACATTGATAATTCTCGGTTTCGTTTTTTCTGGGACGCACTGTATATTCTACCATACCTGGTCTTCAGTGAAAACCCCAACGAGGTAAGGCCCGAGGATTCCCGAGATGGGTCCGGAACTCTGCACCAGGCCTCCGATGCTACCCGAATAGGCGGGGGCCAGGTCGAGTGTGTTCGGCAAGTAACCCGAGAATGCGATACCAAGGATGCCAAGACCAAGTGAAATGAATGTGACGGAGAGGGCACCATTGCAACCGACAAGGGCGACCAGAGCCTGTGTAACGCCGTATCCGAAGAGTCCTGTATTAAATCACACAAATGAGAAGCATTTGGATGTAATTTAGAAAATAATTATTTGAAAAAGTCCATAGTACTTGGTAATTCGGTGTTCCGTACGTCATCATTTTTACTTCGTCTTTCCTCTAGATCAGATTATGTCGACAATAAAATTTAGATGTGATGAGTCATGCATAGTACCAAGTATCTTGGACTTTGCCCAATAATGTCTTTATTTAAAGAACAGGAAATGAAAAAGTTATTATTTGGGGGACAATTATTTTATTGCAGGTGTGAGTTATTAACATTCGGTCTTGAGAAATAATGTACAGCAAATACTGACTAAAGACTGCAACACACTATTAAGCTTTGGAGGGCCCAAGAGTGCAGCATTTAGACAAATAAAAATGCAAAATCTTCTGGCTCGGGAGCTATGCTCCCTCGCATAATATCCTTCAAAATGTACAATTACTATTGTACAAAAATGAAGTGTGAAACAGGAATTTTGTTTGTTTTCATACTATAGTTTTGCTAAGGAATATAATTTACCTTGACCCCTCTCGTTCACTATGCTCACTCACTCGTGCTTTGGGCAGTCCCCCCCCCCCCCCCGATAAAATTCAAACGTGGTTTATTTCTAATTCGATACCAGTTACTAATTTACAAGTGTTACTGATTTTAATGATTTTCCCCAAGCTTCCGGGGGCTCTGCCCCCTGTACCCAACTAAGGGCCCTAAAGCTTGTCCCTGGTTACTCAGCTGACCATAATTAAATTCCTAAAACACCTGAGCTTCCAGGGGCTCAGCCCCCTGGACCCCACCAGGGCCCTAAGCGGGCCTCTGGATGGTCATCTGACCATATTCAAAAGCCTAAAACCCTGAGCTTACGGGGGCTCCGCCCCCTAAACCCCACCAAGGGCCCTATAAGGCGGCCCCTGGATGCTCATCTGATCGTAATTAAATGCCTAAAAGCTCTGAGCTTCATGGGGCTCCGCCCCTTGACCCCCGCCGTTGGACCTCACGCCAAAGTAACACCCAACTTAATTGCTTTGCTCTATCTGATCGCAAATACTTTACCCCCCCCCCCCCTCCAACTTTGAAAAACGGCTCCGCGGGGCCTGCATGTAACATGTAAGAGCGATGATGATGCGGATTTTTTTTCTTCTCCCCTCCCCCCAAAAAACGTTTTGGCTCATTACGTCACTCCTCCCTCGTTCCTCGCATATCTTCCCCCCCCCCCCCCCCCGGTCATGAAAAGAAATCGCCGCCCCTGGCTCTGGTCCTAATATAATGATCACGGCATTTTCGGCTAGCAGCAAGTATAAAGGGGAGTTCGCATATTGCGTTGGTGTGGTGGAGATCAAAATCAAATAGGCCATATTCTGGACTACTCACCTGTTGACACAAATATTTTCCTGATAGCTGTTCGAGACAGGTATCCAGTGTTAATAAGATAATCAGCCACTTGTCCTGCTATAATCATAGTAACCCACTGAACGGCGTACGGTACAGCCGATAGCACACCAGCCTTCGTAAAAGAAAGACAACAAATAATAAATGAATGGAAAGATATGAAGTAATAGCTGAATAATACATGTTAACGCCCAAGCGTTGATATGATTTACAGTTGTTCCTGACCTACTTGTAGAATGGTTGTTCCCATGATATAGGCGGAAGATTCAAAAAGGAAATAACAAGCGCGTATATTGCAAACGGCCGAGTGTATCATTAACAAGCGTGTAACACTATGAACATGACGGACAAAGAAAGAGGACAAAATATACTGTTCCTCATTCTACAAAGGAACATCCCTTCACTGCTATTATGTACAAATGTGTAGAACATGTGAATATGCATGTGACACCTATTCTACACATTTTTACATAATAGCAGTGAAGGGATGTTCCTTTGTCTGCCACAGCAATTGTTGAGGGTAGAATGAGGAAATGTATATTTTGTCCTCTTTCTTTATCCGTCATATTCATAGTGTAAATTAGTGCGCGCTGAGCGTGGGAACATAGTTTCATAAATGATTGTGGAGTGGTAACGTGTGTTATTGTCTGTCATGTGCTAGTGTAAATGATAAATAAAAAAAGGCAAAAATGAATAGATGAATAACATTATCAGAGACTTGTCCTCGTTTTAACGTGGTGACCCACTGAACGGCGGACGATACAGCCGTTGGCACACCAGCCGTCGGAAACAAAAGACAACACATAATACACGAATGGAAAGATATGTGTTAGTAGATCAATTAATGAATCAATAAATAATAGATTAACAATACACAAGTAAATAAATTAAGAGAAAATGATTAGAGACCAGTCTTATCGTCCTTTATCATTAGGGACTTATAGATTTACACGCCGACATAGTGGACTGCTATGTGTGACATCCTCTTAAGGCAATGTGACGTCCTTTTAAGGCACTGTCGGGCACTGTCAGTGCCTTAAACCTAAAAAGGCCGGGCTATTTATTAATACGACCGGGGGCCATTATGCCCCCCCCCCCCCTCCCCCAAAGATCTCAGCCTAGGAAGGTCCAACTAATGTAAAAATTAGCATGGTGATAGATTGAAGTATATTGAATAAGATGGTAATGTCTATTTTCTTTTATGTTTTATTAATATTTTTATGACAATATGCACACAAAGATTGGGGAAATATACTTACACACGCAGATTTGTGAGAATAACATATTTTGATACTTATGTGATAATATTTTGTCAGCTAACACCTGACCATAGGTCCGCCCATAATAAATTTGGTATCAAAGTGTGCGTGAGACATGAGGGAAAAGACTCATGAAATTTTTAGCGCCAAAGGTTCAGGGGTTTTGATGCAGCGGCAAACATTCGACAGAGGGTTATTAGGGTTATGAGGACGTCCAGTAGCGTAGGCAGGATTTTTTCAAGGGGGGGGGGGTAAGAGGACACTTCTCCTTTTTTCTTTTTTTTTTTTTTTTTTGGGGGGGGGGATAAGGTCACCTTTTTTTAGGTCAGTCATTGGCATAATTTTTTTTATTTTTTTATTTTATAATTTTAAAAAAAATCCAAAGGAGGGGGGGTTTCCTCCAAAATACACACATAAAAAAGACCCCCCCCCCCTGCGTACGCGCCTGAGGACGTCACATTGTTAAGAGGATGCCACACGTCAGGGGCGGATCCAGCAGGCGGCAGGGGAGGGGGCCTAATTCGTGAGAAAATATTTAGCGGCGAAATAGCCGGCCGATAATTCTCTCAGTGGTGGGGCGGGGGGGGGGGGAGTAGTGAGCACAAATTATTATTTTTTGGCTCCCGAGAATTTGAAAAATCACGCCGGCCGATAAATCGCTCAGTTGGGGGGGGGGGGGTAGTGAGCACTAATTATTTATTTTTTGCTCTCGAAAATTTGAAAAATTGCACCCCCCCCCCCTTGAGCGCCAGGAGAGGGTCCATCTCCCAAAAAAGGGTAAAATTAACGTGGATGGAGGCCCCCGGGCTCACCCCCCCCCCCCGCCACTGCCACACTTAGCAGTCCACTATGTCGGCGTGCAAATCTAAAAGTCCCTAAGGAAACACACTAAACGGCGTAAGGTTATACAGCGGAAAGCATACCAACCTTCATGAAAAGAGAACAAGGTAAATAGATAAATAAATAAATACATGTATAAATATGTCAATAAATTAATAATAAATGTAAATGCTAATAGATAAATTAAGATTATCTGAGACTTGTATTTGTGCTTACCATTGTTAAGTCATATCTCAGCACATCGTTCATGTAGATTGGTAGGTTGGTCAGGAGTGTGAAGTACCCCCAGCAGGCCGTCATATGAGCCACTACTTGAGCCCAAACGGGCATGGAGGTCAAAATCTTCCCCCATGGCACTTTCACTTTGGAAATCTGCAAGGATGGACGGAATGGAGTACATTTATTTAAAATAATAATAATACTAAAAATCTTTTAAATTCCACTCCAAATTGTATTAAGTTAAACCGAAAATGGAAATTCTTTTCACCCAATTGATCGTGCCCGGCAGCCACTAAGCAGCGCCAGATCGACGTTGCTCTATCACTTATTGTTGAACGCCAAACACGGTAGCAGCATTTCCCGTCTTTTAACGTCTTTTGGTTGGACGCGGCCGGGGTTCGAACCCACGACCTCCCGGTGGTGAGGCGGACGCTCTACTGACTAAGCCAACACACCGGTATTATACTAGCATTATTGGAAGAACAATTTCGTAATGGGGATAAACTTACTTGTAAAACCGATATGCCAATATATACAATAACAGCATCCTATCCACAAAACAAAATTGCTGGTGCCTCTATAATAATAATAATACATCTATGATGTTACTTGATAGCGGATAGCACGCAGCATATCTTTAAAATTTCCAAATTCATATTAACTTAAATCCAATTATAATAATAATAATGATAATGATATGTATGTCTTGTTAACCCATGTCAGCCTCATCAGTATCAATACTGTTCTCCCTGAGGGTCCTGCAGTCATATTATCACCCCGGATGTTGGTAGATTAGACAATAAGCCCTCGTACTAGTATTCCATCATTTCTCGGATAAGCACGTCTCGGAGGCCGGTGGATCGAGGCGTATGTAAATAAGTTATCATTATTAAAGAGATAATTCTGTACATGAAGAACTTTAACAAAAGGGGAGATGAAAGAAATAATTGGATCAAGTAAAGATTACGTTTGGTTTTCTGTCAAATACTTGGGACCTCACATTACCCATGCCAGTGCCTTAGGCTTAGATTTATACAAAAGGTTAAACTGATTCTACTACCTATTTAATGGGTTAAGTAACATCTTAAACAATATCTTTGTTTGTTTGTCTCTTTGGAAAATATTAAATAGTTTTGTTTCAATTTCATTTTCAAACATGTTACTCAACTGTTCTTATATTGTCCCTACAAAGCCTTTCATTCTTTCGCACCAACCTCAACTTTCATTTTCCTATATGTGTCTTTGTATGTTTTATTATGTATTATGCCCTCGTTTATGTTTGAATGGACTTCAAACGAGAAACAAATAAAAGTAAAATAACAAATGTAATAACATACCGATTTTTGAGTTACTCCCGACTCAATATACTTTCGTTCAGCCATGGATATTCTAGGATGCTCGGCAGGTGTATTATATGCCAGACATAACCACGCTACAAACCAAATTAATCCTGTGCTTCCTGGAAATAATAGATGGAAATAGAACAATGTAATACATGCTTAGTTATGAAGGTCGTAGGGTAAGTTTTGGGGTACAAGTTAGAAAGTGGTACAATAAAGGGGTTGGATGAGTTTCGTCTTAATGGCTGTTTCTTATAAAGCGCTTTACCATTTATGACCGACAAAATTGCTTACATAAGTATTATAATTCTGGTCACAGGATTAATATTCTGCACATTATATTGCACATTGTCCACTCTCTGGGAAGCAATTTGAACGGGTGCGTACATGCTAATCCAATCACGCTGACCATCGCATCCTACCGGGTACTCATTTAGCACCTGGGTGGAGAGGAGCAATGAAGATAAACTGCCTGGCTAAAGGACATCAGTGGCGTGCCAGAGCTCGAACCTCAAACCCACGGTCTTTGCATTCCCAAAGTGATTAAACCACTCGTCTACGACACCTCTACTAATGTGAGCTACGAACAAAACCACGATAACCTCGATGTTTCATTTAACAGTTTATTGAGGTGCAATCACTCTAACAACTCAAGATTCATTCATTAAAAGGTAAAGTTCGGCGTAATTCATTGGGTTCATATATCATTAATAAAGACGTCACATAATAACAAAATTAAAAGTGGGTAAAGCGGTAGCATGGCAAAATGGAAGCACAACGGCCCAAACCCTAATAAATGGCCTTTAATATTATTGAGGTAAGTTTTGTTAGCTTTTACTCTTATTATTCCATTATTTTTGTTTAACTCATTAAATGAAAGAAAGAAAATATGAGTGTCTATAAACATTAATTAACAGTCTATCTTGATGATCGTAGCGCTATTGAACAAAAGGCTCGTCTGCCTGAATAAAATGTTAGTATGGTAAAAATGGATTTCAGCAAACGTATAAAGAGTTCGAGTTTATGTTTTTTTCTTTCTTATCACTGAGAATCATTACCAATTCAGGTAAGATATTTTTGTTTATTTTGGTTTGGACATTATCTAACAAGACTTGGGAAAGAGATCAAAAAATCTTTACCGAATATGTAGAAAGGTGAAGGCCATCCTCCTAGGAATCCTGATGATGCAGTCACACCGGAGATCGCTTGACCCAGAATGTTACCAAGACATGACCCTGACGAGTTAGAGTTCAAAAGACAATTATCAGTCAATGATGATGGTGATCAGGATGAAGGTAATGACGATGGCGATGGCGATGATGATGTTGACGACGATGACGATTATGATAATAATGATGATGACGATGATGGTAATAGTAATGATGATGATGGTTATGATATTTATGATGATGATGATAAAGATGGTTATGATGATGATGATGATGATGATGCAGACACACCAGAGACCAGAAACTTAACTTGTGATCATGACCTTGTCGAGTTAGAGTTCAAAAGACAATTATAAGTATTAATACATGTAACTTAAATGATGATGAGAATTAAGATGATGGTGGTGGTGATGATGATGATGATGGCGATGAGGACGATGATGAAGATGAAGGTGATGACGATGATTATTATAATGATGATTACGATGATGACGATGATGATGTTGAAGATTGTGCTGCTGAAGATGATGATGATGATGATGAAAATGATGATGATGATAATGATGACGATGATGGTGCTGATGATGATGACGATGATAATGAATGTGCTGCTGAAGATGATGATGATGAACATGATGATCAAAATGATGATGATAATGATGACGATGATGGTGCTGATGATGATGACTATGATGATAATAATGATGATGATGACGATGATGTTAAAAGAGATGATGATGTTTAAGACAATGATGATGATGATGGAGCAGGTGATGGCGGTGATGATGAGGATGAGGATGATGAGGCAGTCATACTAGAGACCGCTTGAGCGAAGACGTTACCAAGACATGATTCTGCAATAAATTTTCTAATATTTGGTAAATAATGATAATGATTTACCAATTTGTACCAATTTGAGAGTTTTTGCTTCGACTTTCCGCACGGTCGTTGTTTTCCCCACAAATTTATTTTTTCTTTGCACAAAAAAGGCACCAATGGAAGGAAGGCCCCTCGACGTGGTCTCGGGCACTGTACAGCTATGAGATGACCAGTGGCAATAGTTTTAACCGCGCCACTCGAAGCACTCAATATTTTGATCAAGAAAGTTAAAAACAATGTAAGGGCAAAAATCAAACCGATAATGACAGTACAATGCAATCACATCGTACCCATTAAGAATTCATAACGTAATAATGATAATAATTATAATCTCAATAATCACAATTGTGATAGTACGACAACGACGCTGCTGAAGATAATGATGATGAAGACAGTGATGATGATGATGATGATGATGATGATGATGATAAGAATAATAATAAGATTAATAATGTTGATAATAAAAATACTTTACATTTAATATACCCTATCAAAATTCATACCAGTTACTGACATACAATGTTCATTTTGTAATAGCAGTGAAAACAAATTCTGCTTATTTTATTATCTGTCCACATTCAAATGTCATAGGTCAAAACTTGAGCTATGGCTGCTTCGAAATACCAATATAAAGATCAACTTTACTAAACCAAATTAAATTGTTTTGGTTTTATCAATATCAAAACAATGATAATAATTGTATTTGAATTATTAACAAAAAATTAAGATGCAGCTGGATAAAGAAAAACAAATCAGATTTAGTGTTTTGAAGAACAAACAATAAATGTTCATCGTATTATGATATCCAAAAATGTATCGCATGAACAAATTTTAAAAGAAGGAACTTGCTGAAGAAGAAAAAATCGATTGTTTTATTAAAGGTTTTGACTGCTTGTTTGTAATACAGTTGGAATACAGATAATATTTTCCCATATGTCTATTATTTCATGTGCCGTTGTAAAATCAAGATGCTGGTATGAATTGTGTTGTTTGAATATTCGTATGATAAATCTAGGAATGCACAATTCAACTACTTTTCATGAAGTTGTCTATGAATATCAATGAATGAGGACTCCTGTGTAAAGATAAGTATATTGGGGAAATAATAATGATATTAGATAATACGAATAGGAGTAATGACATTAGTCGTATCAGCAGTAGTAACAGTAATAATTACGATGGTAATAATGACAATAATAACAGCAAGGCGCATATGAATAGTATGCTTTAAGCGATTAAATGAATGCAGTCCTTATTCGATAAGATGTAATTTTAAACACCTATACTTAAAGTTCACAAAGTTACTAAAACTATTTTTTCAATTTTGATTTACGTCAAATTTTCAAACCTTTCGTACCCCGGATAATGACAGAAATATAGGATGATTTACCTTTTCAGATGTTAGGTAATTTTAAAAAGTAATTTGTGTAACTATTTTGAAAATTGCAGTATCATTATGTGAAGGAAGCTGCTGAATCATAGTTATCATTCCTATTTACTTTTTAAATGCATTGTTCAAATATACTTAACGACCATTTGTCCACAATAAAATGAGTTCACAAATAATATAAAATCGACATCGTTGCGCAGACACAGCAGCTATTTCAAAAGCATGATACAGCGTTAAATCGAGCTGACTCAGTTATTTTTCACTCACAAATATATCAACCTTCCCATTTCTTGTTTCTTTACTTCCAACGAGCCTCTCAAGAATCTCAGTCATATATCTCAGAAGTGTGCTTAGTCATCGTAATAAAACAATTTATGATTTGTGCTTGTATACTTCGAGAATTCGAGTACCCCCCCCCCCCTTTCTCTCTCTCTCTCTCTCTCTCTCTCTTTCTATCTATCTTTCTTTCGTTGTATCTTTCTCTTAATCCCTCTACTTTTTCACTGTTCCCTCTCGTTTAAGTTCATCAATGCATATGGGTACAACCTTTTTATGCAGCATTCACCGATAAGTATACCCCCCCCCTTATTTCCCTCTCTCTCTCTCTCTCCCCCCCCCCCCCCTTGTCCTCCTCCTCCTTCTCATCCTCCTCCTTCTCCTCCTCCCCCTCCTTCTCCTCTCTTCTCCTCCCTCTCTCTGTTCATTCCTCCCTCTATTCTACCTGACTTCTTCGGTATACTTAACGCTTTGAATTTGCATTTTCGCTGTTTGGTGTAAATGTAAAATTCTACTAATTAAAAAATATAATAAAATTATATTGAAAATTGTGTATTTATATTTTTATGAAATTTCTATAATCATTTTTCACTCTATAGCGAATATCGTGATGTCATTCTTTATGTGCACTGCTTTGATTCTGACAATAACATTTTGTTTCCTGCTTCATTTATATGTTATTGTTGAAAGGCATACATATTTCAATTCAGACCAATGCACTTCAATTCCCTTTCATAAGCTTACCTGAGAAAGTAATGACTGCTAACCTGCTTCTCTCTTCTTGATGGACCCAATTACTGAACATCGAAAACATAGCTGGAAATGTGACACCCTGGGTCAAAGGTTAAGATTAGTTTTTCAATGAGTTCATAATGCAAACCATTAAAACATTTTATGATAATTATAGTTCACATGACAGGTTTAAATTACAGTTGTTGTTCATCAGGTCTTAAGAAATGGAATTAAATAAAATGCTTACACGAAAAGATTTGGCTTTTTGTTTTCGTTATTTGCACACCAAATGGGGGTGGACTTAAAAGAGGAAATGATAGGAATGAGTAATCGAGATGGACAGGTTTTCCTAGAGGCAATATCCTAACAATGAAGAAAGCAACTATTCAAAACGCCTCGAGAAGCATTATTATTCTCTTCTTGTCGTTGACTATCTTGCTAAGGAATACGAAATTGTTTTTCTTCAGAACTATGCTCTTAAACTGCTGTGATCATTTCAGATCTTTGCCAATCTTTAATATAATTACTTCTTTTCCTCTATCCATTTCACCTCAAAATAGTCTCCTATACATGCTTCTCCTAACTTCTTCCTATTATTGTAGCCTTTCCTTTTCTCTTCTTTTACTTTTCGTTAATTCCTCTAAACGGCCCTTGAGCGGGTTTTTAAGCGACATCAACAGCCGTTGCACTAAAGAAAACTTAACGTGTGATTACTTACTATCCATGGAAACCTGCAGAGAACATGTCACTCTATGATAACATTTGAAAAAAAGAGTATTACCCCTATGACCCTCTTCACTTTAATTTGCCAGCATGAAACAATCACATAATAGTATTTACTTCTCCAATACCGCTAACGACCCTCGTGGCAAAGACGACACCAGCTCCGGCGTAGGAAGCTACGGGAAACACTAGCGAACAGAGGCTGGTACTGAGAACACCTAAAGCGAAAATATATTTTCCTCCAAACTTGTCCGCAAGCCACCCACCTGGAAGCTGGGTGAAGATGTAACCATAGAAAAAGCCAGCCAGGATGAACTCCTGGGTTTCGCTGTCCCAGTCAAATTCTCCAGTATCCTAAAGAAGTAAAAACCGTTTAACTGTTTTTTTTTCTTTTTAAATATACTTTAAAGAATTACATTATGCTCTGATTAAAAAGAATTATTCTTACTGCAAGATACAAGGTAAGTAAGTAATATGGTATCATAAAAATGATTTGATACCAAAAGTATTATACATTTATTTAATCTGGTTTGATCCAGGTTCTAGTAGAAGTAGGTATACTAATAATAAATAATAATAATAATAGGCATTTCTATAGCACCGTCTATCTAGATAATTCTATTAGGCGCATTTATTATTACCCCAGGGGGGTGTTTCACAAAGATCCTAAGTAGAACTTAACTCTAAGTTGGACTTAAAAATTATGGACAGCCATTAGCATCTTTGAATATATTTGGTAAAAATATTTTTGAAAGGCATAAAATGTTTATTCAAATCATTCATATTTTCTATCGTTAAGGAGATTTCATATTCTTGTTGTGGAATTTATAAAATGTCTAAAATACTTGAATTTCTGCTTTTGAGTATATTTCATTTTAAGGCTCAAATGGCTGTCCATAATTTTTAAGTCAAACTTAGTGTTAAGTTCTACTTAGGATCTTTGTGAAACACCCCCCTGATATACTACAGATATATACTATAATCGTAGCTATGGTTGGTAACATGCAGGACAAAATATCTCATGATCTCATCAAAATAAAGCGGAAGAATAACAAAAATCCGAAATCGTACAACGTAAACTAAAAAAAATCAATACCCCCCCCCCCCTAACTAACGGTTAATGGTTGCTGTTCAACCAGTTTTAGTTTCTACAGTTAATTATGTATCAACTATTGATACAATGGGAGCGGGGATAGAAGCACTGAGAACATGGACTTACCTCCTGTCGCATACTGCCATTGGCGCCTCGCTCTTCGCAGTATTCACCGCTCGCATTGATGTCACGTGGTGGAGCATACGACGAATTCACCATGGCCGCCACGCCAATACTGACCGTAACACGCAGACAATAGACCAGAACAAACCCGAAGTAACCCATGATACATAGTATGTAGCGAGCGGGAAGCGAATTTTTTTCCGTACTCGAGAGGGCAAATACCCCATGTGCGCATGCGCGTGGACTTGTGATTTCTCTGCTACTTCCCATACGAAATGTACATGTATTCGCATGTACTGTGCACGATTCGCGTTCTACGAGTAAACGATGGCATAGTAGTCTTCAAACACAGACTCTGATTTGCCAGTTTGACAAATCAATATGCGTATGTGTCGCGATGTGCTTATTCAAGTCTGTGTAGTTGTATGATTCAGACCCAGTAGTGCATATGGAAATACATTGCAACTTGTATAGAATGGTATAGTAGTCTGCAAGCACAGACGCTAATCTGACAGTTTGACAACATACTAGTAGTGTGCTGAGAAGTACTTTATTCAAGTCGCCAACTTGTATAGAATGGTATAGTAGTCTGCAAGCACAGACGCTAATCTGACAGTTTGACAACATACTAGTAGTGTGCTGAGAAGTACTTTATTCAAGTCTGCGTAGATGTATGATTCAGACCCTACTGGTGCGTGCGTTAGAAATACATCTCAATGTGTAGAGTGTAGTATAGTAGGGAGGGCTAGAGAGAGAGAGAGAGAGAGAAAGAGAGAGAGATATGGAGAGAGAGAGAGAGAGAGAGAGAGAGAAAGAGTGTGAGAGAGCAGTGGCACAATACATAGGCCTACCATGGGGTCTGGAATCATTAAACTACACAAACTTGCATAAAATCACTACTCATCAATACACAATATATTATTATGTCCTTGCAGACTACTATACTACACTCTACACATTGAGATGCATTTCTAACGCACGCACCAGTAGGGTCTGAATCATACATCTACGCAGACTTGAATAAAGTACTTCTCAGCACACTACTAGTATGTTGTCAAACTGTCAGATTAGCGTCTGTGCTTGCAGACTACTATACCATTCTATACAAGTTGGCGACTTGAATAAAGTACTTCTCAGCACACTACTAGTATGTTGTCAAACTGTCAGATTAGCGTCTGTGCTTGCAGACTACTATACCATTCTATACAAGTTGCAATGTATTTCCATATGCACTACTGGGTCTGAATCATACAACTACACAGACTTGAATAAGCACATCGCGACACATACGCATATTGATTTGTCAAACTGGCAAATCAGAGTCTGTGTTTGAAGACTACTATGCCATCGTTTACTCGTAGAACGCGAATCGTGCACAGTACATGCGAATACATGTACATTTCGTATGGGAAGTAGCAGAGAAATCACAAGTCCACGCGCATGCGCACATGGGGTATTTGCCCTCTCGAGTACGGAAAAAAAATTCGCGAGCGGGAAAGCAGTCGGTGATTTCTATAGATCGTAATAGAAGTAAGCCAGGACAGGTGCAACGTTAAATTAAAATTAACTCGTAATTTAGGGAGTTAGTTTATGCCTGGATTACATTTAGCTTGCCATTAGTTTACGGGGACCGTACCCTGCCCGTATCCCCTTTTCCGTGCGTCCTCCGTGGGGAGGCAGGAGGCGGCCGTGAGATTTTCGTACGGATTCACGGGCTCCGCGGCGACTACGATTTTGTTTCGCGGGGATTTAAACAAACAATAGCCCGTAGACATGTCGTAGGTGGCATTGCACAATCTCCGCACGGGCATTGTGTGGAGGCCTCACGCTGATCGTGCAGCAAACGCACGATTTTTCAGTGAACATGGGGGCAACAGACGCCGAAAAACGGCACGGAGGCTGCACGGTCACCGCGCCTTCTCCGCACAACCTCTGCACGGAAGCTGCACGAGCTCCGTACGATTTCCGTGCGGAGGTTGCAGAGACTGCACGGGTGTTGCACTGAAATTGCACGATTTCCGTACAATCTCCGAGCAGCCTCTGTGCGGATGTGTCCCGGTCTGCCCCTGAGGGCCAATACAAGAAATGGCACGATGCTCGTAGATAATGTAAACACAAACATCGTAGCCCGTAGCCTCCTACGATGCCCCCAAGATCGCACGAAAAATCGTAGACCAATTTATCGTGCGGCGCCCGGGCGAAATGTAATCCAGGCATAATAGAGTGATTTCATCTTTCATAACGAACATCAAAGAATATTATAATAGTGACTATGTTACATAACGATAATCGTCCTTCATGTATGTCAAGTCTCTTTAATACACCGATATGTGTGTAGTGTGCGTTTGTGGGAGTGCGCGCGCGTGTGTGGGCTCGTGTGGGGGAGTGTTTCATAACTTTCTTATTATTTTTCCGATTTCCTTCAAACTTTTTTTGGATCCGTTTGCCTTCCTGGACCAGACTGGCTTCTCATCTCATTTCCCTTTATTTTTATACAGCAGATTGAAATCTCTTCATCTTCAGCGGTAGATGGTGAGACGTGTAAAAATTGAATATTTTAAACCTTGAATTTCAATGAATACTTGTATAATATTGGATGGCTTTGAGTGGGATACAAGAATATATTGCTCGAGCTATGGCGATATTGGACGAGTCGAGACGAGTCTAATATTGTTACAGCGAGAGCAATATATTCTTGTATCACACGAAAACAAAGACATATAATAGTATTATTATTATCTATATCAGACTGCATGACTAGCGAAATAATAAAATTTGACTTTAGTAAATTTGGCTTCGTTTTCGTGTGATATTGATATGATATCAATATGAATAGTTGAAGTTTCCGGATGACTGAGGAACACAAAAACAATATTGGTAGGTCATCCGGGTACCGCGCTAAAAATATTGAATTAAAGGATTTATTGTACCACTTGGAAGCCTTTAAAAGATAATAATACCCGTATATTGATTCGACTTCCATCGATAAGTGGGGTATACGCCTTCACCATTGCATCATAACAGGCTTTTGTGTTTGGTCGTCATCCCCTTCCCTACCCCAACCCTTGATTTTCATTTCGCTGTGTTAAGCTTAAAGAGAGAAAGTAATACCCTTCAAGAATTCGAAATTATCAACTGTCAGTCTTACCAGCCTTTAAATTTACTTCAATCAGTGGTTTGGTCTCGTTATCATCTTGGTCATCGTATATGGGCTCTGCTTGAGGAACTCTAAGTGCACTCGGGTGGTGCTGGTTTTCTACGTAGCTCTGCCCATTTGCCCTAACGTTAGAAACACCTTTGGCACTTCCTTGGGAGCTTGTGAAAGGCACTTCGACGGATTTCGTCATCACCAAGTCTGTCTCGTCTTCGGGAAATATGTGAGAAGGCATAATCACTCTTGATTATGAAAGGACTCCGAGTAGTGGGTACTTGGATGGATATAGCTTCGGAGCAAAAGATTACAGGTTAACAAACGTGAAGTCTTCAAATTGTCAAGTCTCGACTAATGTTATTCGTATTTGGTTTAGCTATAATATAGGAACAAAAACCTCTTTTTCCCTAGATGTCTCTGAGCCCACGTGAGTCTTGTTTGGTTTATTGAGTATATGACCCGACCTCTGAGATAGTGCTTATATGTGATCAGGAGATTGCCGAATTGATAATAAAACATACGATTAGCAAATATGATCTTTGTCCTAAGACCTTTGAGTCTGTTGGTCAATTAAGTTTAAAAGCGGCAGGGTTGATAGAAACATATGGGTCTAGTTGCCCGTCACGCTCCCGTATGCCGTCGGCCTAGTCAAGCTAAATGCAGGAGCATATTATTCTTGGCATGTCTGCCCAATATCTAAATACATCACGATACGGAGTAATTGATCGCAATCTCGATTCATTTGGTCAGTTCAGACTAAAATATCGACTGCTGGTTGATGCTTTTGATCAATAATAGCATTGACTGATACTATATAAAATTTTATTTCGGTTGATTATTTGCTTCGGTATATGGAGGTGTCAAAAGGTTGTCTTTACGAGAAGGCTCTTTCAGAACGGTACATCAATAAATCAGTTCGTCAAAGGGGGTAAAATGATACCAGGGCAGTATGCATGGAGGCCAGAACTATGGGGTCTGGGGCGCTCCCCACCCCCTAAAAACATTAAACAAATTAAATAAGTGCTGACCTTTTCAACATTTATTATGGGCCTTGAAGTGCTACTATTGTTGCTGTTTTTGGTTTATACAACATAAAACTTACGGAAGTAGCAATTCACTCTGTGTTGGAGGGGAATTCCGCGCTCAAAATCGTGGAATCTATACTAAAGAAAAGGAGTTCAAACCATTACTTTGCAGTGGATGCCATTATAATTTGAAGTGGGCAAAACTAAAAAATTGTTCCCTGAGATGACCCCCCCCCCCCCGGGTCGATTTCCACTCATCTGCATACATCTAAAAAGAACAGTTATAATGTGTGTGTTTTTGTTTTCCTGACCTTACAAATGAGAAGAGGGGTTCATTTCCAATCTATCTCTTGATTCGAATAGGCCTATATCTCTTATAACAATTGTATTCTAATGTATTAAGCCTTTTTTTTCTTGCTTTCCTTAATTTTACAAATCAAATATCTTTTCTTAGCGTTTACGTTTAATATAGAAGCTGTTATTATGATTACCATGCTTTGTTATGTATTATATTAAATATTGTATATTATTCTGTTAAGCAAGCCCTCTGTGGCACCGCACTAACATCCTTTGGCAAGATATTACTCCACGTTTGCCACTCTCAATCCAGGTGTAAATGAGTACCTAGCAGTTTCTAGGGCAGAAATAATTGCAAGGCCCTCAGGAAGAGCAGTGTTCTTTCTGATGACGCTTTCCTTGATAAACATACTATTCTTTGTTATGTATTTTATTTTGAATTTTAATGGAAAATAAATGAAATGAAAAGAAATAAAAATTTTATTGTTACTTCGGCTCCGCCCTATGTTTAATAATAATTGAGGAGGCGCGTTAGCTCAGTTGGTAGAGCAGTGGTCTCGTAATCCAGCGACCCGGGTTCGAAACCAAGGCGAATCGCTAGTGCTCTTTGGTGAGGCATTAATCCTCATTACCAGGTCTTTCAGAGAGGACATAAAGCCGTCGGTCCTCTGGTTGCTTACTAACAAGCATTTACGATTTCTAAGCAGTCAGGTAAAAATAACCATTATACTACTACTATTTAGTGAGGACGCTAAACGTAAGGTTAAGATGTCATGTGTTTAAACAAAACATAAAAGGTTGAGGGCTATATACGAAACACATAAAGAATACAAACGAACATTTTGAAATATAGTACTTTTTATTCAAAAACATACACTACATATACAGTAGTATTTGCTTCATATGGTAGCATTTCTAAAATCAATTCATCAAGTATCAGTCCTATGAAACGAGCAGCAAACCATTGATGCAGCGATATTAAAGTAGTTATCCTATTTCTATCAACAGATTTATACACGAATTTAAATACAATAATTTAAGATTTGAAAATATATACACGATATTCAAATAGGATCACATGATCAGCAACATGAATTAAAGATACATATACGAAAACAAGGTAAGACTTCATCGCAGCAAGGATAACACTTAAAATCATGTGGAACCGCAAACATATTTGTGACACCTTTCCGTTTGTGTGAAAACGGGGCATATTATGAGTTGGCATAATTTGAGTAATAAACCATCGTTGCATTTCGTTCAAATATTGAATTGTTCAGGTTAATTTGACTTTATATAGCTCCATAAAGTAGACATTGCATCAATAAAATGATTTCGTAGATGGTATTACGTATATGTGTGCATGATTTTGAATAAATACCGCATAAGGTTAACGCTTGAGGATACGGATGTGCCTGTTTTTGAGGCATTTCATCTTTAAAGAAAAGAAAGTTGTGTTCTAATAAAGATGAAAAATACTTTGAAAACTTTCTTTAAAAAAATTGTAATCAATTTAAAAGAATATGGCAAAGTAGAATTGTCCCCTGGAAGGGATTGCTATTCAAATGCCCTCATATTCCAAACATGTCGAGAAATGGATGTAACCTTTTGACTTGGACCAGACTTTTTCCAGTTTCTGTGTGCAGTGAGTGCATGTGATATTGTCTGCAAGATTTAGTTGATGTTTAATAATTGTGATAACTTAAATACCCTACAGTTTACACCAATTCTTATTTAAATTATAGTCAACTCTCCCCAGTCCCTTTCAAACAGTTCTTTTTACAATGTAATCGTTTGATAAGTACTCATCGCTTTTAAAGGACTACTGAATGTTTTTCGTATAGCGCGAAAGACTTTCATCACAATCACTGTGTATTAGTCACAACAAACACACAGAATAAAACAGTGACAATATTTGAATTGTCTTTCACAAGAGACAAGCTCCTAACATTTTTTTTTCCACGAAATGAAATATCCGAATGTCATAAAAAACATATATATTTAAATCCAATTTTCGCTTTTGTTTCGGTATCATACATATCGAAACAGGGACTCGTCAGATCGTAATGGCTGGTAATGATTTCAATTTTTTTTGTTAAATTACAATTTGAATTAATTTCTATTCTCAAACCATAGACATTTCGCTTTAAAGTCTTGCGAAAAGACTGATATGTTCCAGAAATGTGCTTCCTACTTATCCATTTACATCTCACTAGTATATTTTTTTAAATGACAATATTGAAGGGTTGTCTACCGATTTGTAAGAACTATTTAGTTCAAGGCTGTATCATTCCTCCTTCATCTGAGGTTGATTTCCCTCATAATGATAAACATAATTACTTCTATAATAATATTCAAGTCCTGTTTCATGAGTATTGAGGTCATTATCGACCACATTCGGTTACGATGTGCCTTGTCAGTTAATAACTAGGGAATAGTATTAGTAGAGGCAGGAAAGTATTGAAAGTTGAATAATTAAATCATCGTCACTACTGCCCGAGTCACACCGCTTCACTCCCTCCTAACCGACTCCAAACCGGCCGATTGTCGGCCTTTCAGGTTAATGATTTTGTTGGGGGTCGGTCTTGTCTTTGTTTCGTTGGTGTGACGGAGGAATAGCCAGGTAATCACTCACTTTAGTATCGTGACGTAATAATAGTTTATAACAATGATAATTATAGGGCTCACACAAGTAATTCAGGACCATTATCTGTGCTAATCCATTTTTAAAAATTTGATCTTATTATACGAACCTATCAGTAGAATTCCTTTAAAGCCCCTCTGCACTACTTAAAACTACTTGCGCCCTCTATATAGCAAACGATGCCTAATCAGTGACCATTGGTCCCCATGGCCCCTTTTTACTTATGTTAATTGAGAGCTGATTTGATGAGATAACCACCTGTCAGCGACCATGCAGGGAGGTCTAATCCCTCCTGGCCAAATTAGTGCAGAGGGGCTCAGAGAAGTGACAGGATATAAAAAAATCTCCTGAATGAGGTGAGGTCCCTTATTTTGATTTTTTTCTGGGCTCAAACAAAATCTGTTAAGCCTGAAAACACAACTCTAGCCGATTCGAAGACTGAAACAGTGGGGAACACATGAAAATACATTTAACACTTTCAGAGTACAAGACAAGCTTTACTTTGACCCCAGGGTAAAATTGAGAAGCATATGCATTACTGGCTTCAGATCATTAACGTTCTTAAAATTTAATGGGGACAATTATTATATCAACTTTCGAGAATATCAACTCACTAGAATGCATTGCGAGCGGATGAGTTACTTGTGGGTGCCATGTTCAGAATATGGCCGGTTCTCATTTTTATCTCTATAATATTCCCTAACCTTGCTTCAAGCTGCCGAAGATGGCGTTATGAACGCACTCGTATCACAGCCGGGCGTATAAATTCGGGGACACGTCATCTTCGGCTTGCAGCAAGTTTATTGAAAAATTACATGTGCCAGATTATGGATTTATGTGGGTCCTAAAAAGGTACCGTACTGTATCTCACAATGAGTAGGTATCACTCAATCTTTGCACCAGTTTGCTCTACAGCCTTCTGCCCTCTACGTCCAACAAAGTTCTTCATCACCTTTTCGTTTTCCAAAAAATCTTCCAAGAGAAGATTAGCCTTCAGAGGTAGCATTCTACAAATAAATGAACAAAAACATGTGGAAATATTTAGAAATGGCTATTCAGCAGGCAGTAATTTGTCCAAGTCGTCGGATTTAAAACTCCAAAACAAAACTAAAATAATTATGCAGGAACTATGTTTCATTTTTGGTTTTTTATATTCTTCACAATAGTTGTGGATTTGTCTTCAATTCAAAATCATAATTGTACGTTTCTCACCTATAATTTTGAAATGCTAATTGGCGACTTTACATTACATGTACAGTCAAATCCCTTAAGTGACCACTTGCTTAGAAATACAACTTGCCTATATATACCTCCATTGTTTTCATTATAAATCAAACCTCATTCTACAGCCAAAAAAATCACAAACTTGTCCCAAAATGTGAATTTCTGAAAGTTTTGCAAAATCCTTTTTTTTTTTAATAGCTTACTTTGTGAGGACGACAACCATATTGAAGATGAATGGTGTCCTGACCACGTCTCGGTTAGTTTGGACTGCTTCCACAACCTTGTCAGCGACGAACTCGGGTTTAAGAGTTGGGAACAGGAGCTGCGCTCTGAAACGATAAAATCAAACATATCGTAGTAAAAGAAGATGAGTGTATAATCACGATATTTGTTTTCTTTTTTTCTTTTTTTATATTCTTCACAATGTGTTTTGCGTATCTTTATATTGATTTGCTTAATTCTATGTTACTCTGTAAGTCTCTATCGTTTTTTACATCCTCATTCTCTTTTTTTCCCCTTTCTTTATTTTCTCTCTCAAATGTAAAGTGTTGTGTTGTTTGGAGCTTTGATTTCAGGTAGTAACTTTAACATTGAATGTTTGTGCAAAAACTACTTAATGTTTACAAGCAATGGAACTGGGACAGAGGGCTTTTTGGTACAGTTATTATTTGAACCTTTTCTGTCCCTGACGTTCCAGTTGTTGTATTATGTTTCATCTATACTTGATCGATTATCTTTTTAATGATTTAATTTTTGTTTTAATGGCAAATAAGTAAATAATAATTGTGATATTATGTATGTCAAGTGGAAATAAAATGCTATATCCAACATGGACATAACATTATTGCAATTGCATGACAGACATTACTGAATTTGTCAAGGTATCTGTTTTAAAATGTAACCCGACTCCGGACCAAAGTGTTGATCTATGTGGCAAAAGTATTAAGGGCGAACAGGTCACCGGCACATGCCCTACACTCGAATGTCAAAAATGGAAACTGAAGAAAGAAGAAAAAAGGATAGAGAAAGGAAGGGAGAGGGGAACGTGAAAACAAGATCACAGGTGAGGATCTTTCAAACATTCCCTTCCCATTTGGTGGACTTGAAATTTTCTACTCATCCACCTAGTAAGAATGATGCCCAAATGATACCTGTGCCGGTGACCCTTAATGGGTGGATCCACCCTACATCAGAGGCTGCGTTTGCATCTGACGATTTGGTGTTTTGTTGTTGTTGTTTTTTTAAGTAAAAAGAAAAAAAGATTCTGTGTTTCCTACGATGAGTGAACATACAACCTGACGTGCATACATGTTCAATATACATCTACAAGTAGGTAAAGAAAGTACAGACAACATGTGTTCCCACTCACGAAAAGAAGATCACAGCTGAGGATCTTTTAAACATTCCCTTCCCATTTGGTGGACTTGAAATTTTCTACTCATCCACCTAGTAAGAATGATGCCCAAATGATACCTGTGCCCCCTTAATGGATAGATCCACCCTACATCACAGGCTGCGTTTGTATCTGACGATTTGGTGTTCTGTTGTTGTTTGTTTAAATGAAAAAAGAAAAAAAATCTATGTTTCAGACAATAAGTGAACATACGAGCTGACGTGCATATATGCTCAATATACATGTACATGTGGAGAAAGAGAGTACAGATAAAATGTGTTCCCACTCACGACTTTTTGATCGTTGCTCCGTTGAACATTCCCGTGTCGATCTTGTACGGATTGATCAGTGTGAAGTGGACCCCGTCTTTTCCCTGAGCCCGGGCCTCGCGTAGTAAACTTTCGTGGAGAGCGACAGCAGCGAATTTGCTCATGCAGTAGTCGCTCAACCCGGGTACGACGATTTCCCCCATGATGCTGGCGACGGTGACGATATGGCCGTGATTCCTCTCTAGCATGTTGGGGAGGAATGCCTTCAGGGTCTGTAGTCGTCATGAAGAGAGAGAAAGATTGATATGAGAATGAGAAAGAGAAAGAACGAGGCATGCGGGTGACGAAGAGGGGGTGCGAATAAAATGGGAAAACCAAAGGAAAGAGAGGGGAGGGGAAGGGTATATTTGGAGAAAGATGGAGTTAATGAGGGGAAAGAAAAAGATAAAGAAAGAAATAAAGAAGGGAACGTCACGAAAACAGAAAGACATGGAGTAAAAGCGAACTGAACAAAGATAGTGAGAGAGTGGGATAGATGAAATTACAATAATGCATATACATGTGAAGGCCTATTCGTTTTGTATTTAAAATGGATTTTAGCAACACTTAAAAGATCCTGTGGTGAGTGATCCGGACCTTTAATTAAAAAAATCGTTGTGATCAAAAAAGTTGAGAAAAATTACGAAACTTTGGTCAACTTCACGTTTCACAGTGTTTCATGAGGAAGAAAATCCAAATTTTTCTCTGATTTTGCCATGATTTTGCCCGGCTGGAATTTCGAAATTTTAGGATCATTAAAGGATACGTTTCAAACACATAATACCACTTTTTACTGGATATGCTGTTTAAGAGACTGACTACTTCCTTTTTTCGAACAGATCATTTTTTTCCCTGATGTGCTAAATACTGTTCTTAAATTCCTTGACTTTTCCCTCACTTGACAACAGGGAACTTCTTCTCCAAGTTTTCAATGTTTTCTGGGATGCTGGTACCTTCTATACAAATAAGATCCAGACCTTACCCAAACATGAGCCAGAGAATTCACATTCAAAGTCTTATGGAAGTCCTCTTCGTTCAGATCCTGGAAGTATTTTCCTGTCACGATTCCCGCGTTGTTGACCAGCATGGTGACATCGCCAACCTCCTCTCTCACTCTCTGCGCAGTCTCGTTGACCTTTGCCATCTCGGTTACGTCACAAACATACCACCAGGCCTTCCCACCGTTGACACGTACGAGCTTTGCTGTTTCTTCAACGTCAGAGGCGTTGATGTCCCATAACACGACCCTTACTCCTAGAATGCAAACAAAATTGAATGACAGATTTTCCAGAAATGTACTTTTTAAAAAGAGAACTTTGTATAATCATCAGGTAAACTATTTTATCTGCAGTATCGCCCCCATAATCTGCAACAGATCCATCTTCATTTTCACCATCGTCATCCTCCTCATCGACATTGATTTCAATATTATATCCAACATCATCTCGCTATCTTTGTATTGGGCTTGAGGAACTCAATGATATAGGGTGTCAGACTTGTCGACAAGAAGAACGTGGTTCCAATGCATGGTTTTAAAAAAGGTGGTCTTGCAACATTTAAACTTTTTGTCATTTGTTAACAATGCTAAAAGGGAATTCTGAAAGTGTTGACATCAGAGACTTTGCTCGTGAAGACCTTCTGACTTTCGAGAGATTGGAAACTAAAAAAAGGAACCTGAAGGCTTATGAGACGGACGGAGGTGCATAATCCTAAAGTACCACGGGACCAACTGTTATGTTCTCCTGGACGGCCTTTTGATAACTATTCGATTGCTCATGAAACCTAAGGTAGGTTCGGGGACTAGACAAAAAAATGCAGAGGATTCAATCTTCATGGCCACCCGTCCTCTTTTTTTTTGTCAGTTCCTTACCTAACGCTGCGAACTTCCTCGCGAAGAGCCGGCCGATGCCGCTGCCGGCACCCGTGATAAGCATGGTCTCGCCCTCAAGAGACTTGGACCTCAGACTACTGGGGATTAGCCACTTTAGGAAGGCCTCCATGCTGACAAGAAGAACTTGCAGATGAAGAATCATCAGCTCACCAACGAACTCCAGGATGCTCATGGCTGTGCTGCTGTGTTCGCGATCTGAGGCGTCGGACATTTTCCCTGCAGACGTGTCTAGCGGATGGGAGGAGAAAGACATTTTCTTTAAAAATAGGGGTCATTGAAATTATTTCGTCAGGGTAATCGTGTTCGTATGTGAACATAAACCTTTTGGGTCAGTAGATAAATCTAGTTTTCACTATATTGTCTTTTCATAATTGATTTGGCCTTAAAGGTACTATGTCCCATTTGCAGCCAACATCAAATTCTGTAGAACTTTGCAGGAATTATGAATATGTCACGTATGTCCTATCTGTGAAATTGAAACGTTAGCAGTGTCATAGTATTTAAATTATGCAAGGAAAGTAGGAAACCCGTTTACTTTCTAGACTTGGATGGATAGTAATTCTTCACAATTTTGATATATTTGGAGGCCCATGTGGATGTATTATAAGCACTAGAAAATTTAGCCCCTAAAATACTTCTGCTTTCGATAAATTGAAAAATCAAAAATTTACCGGTGCTCCGGCTAAATTTCAATTATTTCCAATAGCTACTAATAAGGCCATTAATTCCATGGTAGCTGCGACTATGAAAATCTAAGAACATGCAGTTTTTATATATAATTTCCAAAAGAGAATAGCAAATCGGCCGATTGTAGTCAAGAAACATTGTTTTAAAGCTAAAGTAATATCAGTCTTGAGAGGGAGCTATAAAACATAAAGAGTTTATTATTTACAATTTCATCACTTTAGACTCGATTCCAACCGCGACAACGATCAATAAATTGTAAAATCGCATATGCTTCCAATATGTTCATTTAAACCAACTTCATGACCCCATACCAAAACTTTGTATTATCTTTAACAAAATGACTTACTAAAACGACTGATTTTATGCAACTGTAGACTCATGAAATGCTAATACCTGAGGGTAATTTCCAGATCGTCTGTTTGGAGCCAGAAGGGCATTAACCTGTATATGAGTTAACACCTTTCTTACTCTCAACAGACGAGATAATAGGGAATTTTAGTATTGCACGACGAGATCGTGGACTGCGACGTGTGACATCCTTTTAAGGCAATGTGACGTCCTTTTGAGGCACTGGCAGTGCCTTAAAAGGACACCACACGTGGCAGTCCACGTTCTCGTCGTGCAAATCTAAAAGTCCATATTGCGTATACTGAAGTGGTACAAGGTACATACAATGAAGTTTGTTCAGATATGGCGCGGGAAACCGACGCAAAAATAAAGCAGCCGTGGGTTTTGTACAGTGTGCAAAGGTATGGCAACAAAGGACTAACGCTTATTTACTGAACCCTGTGTTATAAGATAGAGAAATGTGAAGTGTATTACACTTTAAATCATCAATATTTTGTTTAACTGCCGCAGTTTTGACGCGTCACACGAGGCGTTATTCCACTACGGCAAAAATTCCTAATTGGTAGTTCAAGTCAGAGAAAAATAGGCCCCGGCGTTATGTCTCAATAGATATGAAGCAGTATCAGTGTGAAAAGAGTAATGCTGAACAATAATCTATAAGCTATTCCTGTCTGTTTATGCATGGACCTACTAAGAAGATCCATGGTTTATATTACTGAAATCGCAATACTACCTGCACTAAATTCAATTCTCGAGAAGGTCGAGATTTGTATGTCAAGGTCACTGCCCTTCCCCTTTGAAACCCGATCCGAACACAACAATTGTAGTTACAGTATAGTGTTGACAGTAAAAGTAATATTTGTAAAGCGCTTGCTTGGTTTCTGTTTCAATTTTTCAGAGTAGCTTTATTTTCATTTCCAACAGTACAATTAATATAAACAATTATGCCTTTTTTTTAAATGAAACTCAATGTACATTAATAATAATGCATTTTGCAAATCATTAATCGACAAGTTGCAAAGAAAATGTATACATTTCCTGTAAATCATGTTTGCTTTTTTTAAGCAAAAACTGTGGATATGGAGGGATCCATTGAGAAGCAGGGTTTGTAAAATGCAGATCTCTCAAATAATGATAGTCATAAATGTATGTGATAAATAAATATATAAATTTAAAGAAATATTTTAAAAATGAATGATATTATTGTGTAAGTTGGGAGTGATAATGTAAATCAACAGATTGAATAACTGATGTTTCTCTACTCTCCGAATTTAGTGGAGAAGAAATCCCCTCATTTATAAGTCATTACTAGGGATCATTTTGGAGTTGAAATCCACGCTCAAAAGAATGGAATTATTCTTTTAGAGAGTAAATTGAAACCTCTAGACTCTACTCTGGAGTGGTTTCCACTATAATCGTGATCATTTGTAGTGGATTCAAGTCCGAAGTATTTTAATAACAAAATTTTGAGATGATAGCAACTTCTTTCGAAAGAACAACCTAAGGCAATTTTAATATCACTTATTGTGCGTAATCAATTAAAATGTGTGAATAGGACAATGATAGATCACATAATAAGAACGACACCTATGAGACACACGATCAGGAATTTAAATTGCTCTAATTGTCTTAAGTTGATTTCTCGAAAATAGATTGTGTAATGATAGACCTACAGAATGGATTTCCAATCCTCTGCATGAGGGGAATAAATCAACAACAAAGCCCCCCCCCCCCCTTCCCCTCCTATTCCCTTATTAATAAATTTAAGTTTCGGAAATGTTCCCCCCCCCCCCCCACCTCCTTCTTTTCATTTTTTTTTTTTAATTGTTAAACAAGATTGGCCCTTGATCAGTATAAATACCTCACGACACGAAGTGACCGCACTCTCTTGAACAGTAATTGAATGCGTCGAAATATAATCAGCTTGGAAAAAGTATGATGTCGTTCTCGGTTAGGAAGGCCCTACCGTCGACCAGCCCAGGAAGACAAGTCTCTTTGATAGTCGTACCGTGGTCGATCACCTAGCTCTAATTCTCACTGGCTACTGTGATAATCTCTGCAGAGTGGGAGAAATAACATTTGAACATAAGAACAAGAGATGGTTCCGGTCAAATGAAAAGGGAATTGAGAGTACGAGATCGTTACAATAATCAATCTGATTGCAATTGCAATGAAGCTATCAAACCGACTCCAAATAGACTCTCGGCCGTTGTAGAATGTTCTCGGATCTGTCGTCGGCCTGGTGCTGGTCTCCGATGTATGACTGAGATACAAGTGGATAACCATTGGCATAAGAACTTGAAAGCTTGCACCGATAAATTGGTAGGTATACCGTATGCTCTAAGGGTACTGAAATAAAAATGTTCTAATGTTGATGCAATATATCCCACCTCTTTGTGGTGTATCTATCGCTCGATGTTGTTGAACAATGATGATTGTATCCTGTGAGTTCGTATAATATTCCTAAATCCCATGTTATCTCCCTGATCTGTAGCAGTGTATGAGATAAACGCATTGTCCTACTCATAGGTGTTGATGCTATATAAGGTGCTGACTACTTGATCTTTAGACCACTTCCGTAAGAAATATCTCATTATAGACAATTATAGACGGATTGAGGGAGATAATAAGTTGCAGTGTCCGAAGGTTACTGATTAAAGATACAGTGTGTGAATCTTGTAAATAAAATGATAATTACCTACACACTCTCAGTGCAAATTAACTTAACCTAAATTTTGAAGAAGAATTTAAGAAAATGATTAAAGGACGATTATGATTACAAAGGTTACAAAGTATGTTGAAAGATAACTTTTTTTTAAAATATATGTCACGGTTAAAGACGACTAATTGTGCCAACTGAAATAGATTTAAAAGAAACCAACTAGACTAAAAAACGAATAAAAAAATTAAGATGACATTATTTTTTCTAATGATGAAAGAGATTATGTACCCTATGTGTACATTGCATATTTTTGGAGAGGTTCATCTTCCAAATATGCTTTAAAACATAATTTTATTTCCAGGACGTGCTAAATGTGCATCATTAAAACAAGGGAAACGCTCTCGGCGGTCTCGCCTGCATAACGCAATTCAATATGATAAACCAGAACCTCAATGACGTAGCGCTCATCCGCATCTCGCAACAACAAATATCTTAAATTTTATGTGGTACACTTTTGAACTGGTCAAAAAATAAAAATTTGATGCCCTGGGAGGGACATAATTTCATTTCATTTGCTTAAAGTATCATAAATAATCAATGGAGCAAAATCTCACAATTCTGAGTAGAAGTTTAGTGTTCCAAATTTAGCTCTACCAGATAAGGCAAACCAAATCAAAATCGGTCAAGAAATGAGGGAAAAGAAGCAATTTTTGTTATTTTTGGAATAAATTTGCATAAATTACCATAATTAATTAATGGAGAACAATTTCAAAATTCTGTGTAGAAGTTTAGTGTACCAAAGTTAGCTCTACGATAAAAAGCAAACCAAATCAAAATCGGTCGAGAAATGAAGGAGAGGAAGCCTTTTTTGTGATTTCGAATAAATTTGCATAAATTAGCATAAATAATGAATTTCACGATTCAGTGTAGAAATTTTAAATCCCCCTCCTAGCCCTATCATATGAAACAATCAGAATCAAAATCGGTTGAAAAATAACGAAGAAGAAGCATTTTGAAAATCTTGATGTTGATGCTACAACAAAGTCTAAGTTTGTTGACCTTAAATGACCTTTGACCTTAACTTAGTGACCTGAAATTCTACTCACATGATTGGGGAGACTTGATAACCCTATAGTCCAAGTTTCATTGAAATTTCATGTTGATGCCGCCGCCGCCGCCGCCGTCACCGTCACCGGAAAAGCGGCGCCTATGTCTCGCTTTTTGCTACGCAGGCGAGACAAAAATGACTTTATCCAGAAACTGACCAATCACAGGGCAGCGTGACATTGTAAGAATGATCGCGCACCGGCCATCCAATTAATGCACACAAATCATAATGATGTAAGTAAACGATAGAACATGACATTCAGGATTTCAGTTGAAAATAGAAATAAATTGTAATAGTACAGTTTACTATAGGCCTACATGTGAATCAATGCTGTTTAAAAAAATTAATGCATGACGAAATGGCACCAGTATGTGAGTTAGGAGGAAATGTTGTATAACTTTTGATAACGTTGTATAACCACCCCTGCATGGACCAGTGGATCTGAGATTATATTATAAAAAAAAACTATGATTTTAGAAGAGTACGAATTTACAAAAAAAAAGTGAAAGGTGTAAATATTCTAAAAAAGAATGAAAAGCTGATAATACCAACAACAGCAACAACAACAATCACCCCTAAGGAGAAAAATAGAGTTCCCTTTGTTAAATACTGCCAATGACTATTCGACACCTTCGTATAGTCAAGAGTCATACATTTCCATGCCAAAAGATATAGAGTACCGAAGCGCTAACTACACAGTCGCTCGACATCCAGGTGATTCGAAATGACAGGGCCTGCGCATGAGGTTCACCGCGAAATCATTCAAGCAACGGACTGGAGCAGGGCAAATTCAGTGTAATCAGCACGCATTGTTTAGCACAAAATTGGATGAAGTATTTCGTATACTTGCAAAATAAAGAAACAATTGCCCGACTTTGATAATATTAGAGTTTCGATTATAAATTACTTCACGAAAAGTATATTGCATATTCGAATTGTAGAAATAATAAATTCACAAGAAAATGGTTTCAATTCAGGAATTTTTTTTACTTAGTTTTAGTTTTAGTTTTCTGTTAACTCAACAGTTCAACAATACTTGTATCTTGAAAAGCGAATTTTATTTATGTTATAATGTAAATTACCTTGAATATGTATTTTTGTATGTGTTTCAAATCAATAAAATCCCTGTGGAGGGAAAAAATATGGGGGAAAAGTATTTCGTCTACGGCTGATTGTCAACGAAACGGAGTTAAGTCTTTTGTTAATTCCGTTTGTATACCGAAGACATCCAGTGAAAACGAATTCGTTTAATAAAATTATGGAAATGCAAGCACTACTTTAAACAAACATAACTTTGTTATTCCTATCTCATTTTTCCTGATTGAGATGTCGTATGAAAGGGCGGAAAGTCAACTTTCTGGAAATGTGATTTTCTCTTTGAAATTCAGATACCGTCCGCCAAATGACTTTTTGGTTTCCTCTAATCTCTTCAAATTCATTTTAATCGCTCATTCATTACTCTCAAATCTAGAGATCGGATTAGATGAAGGTAATGTTATAAAAGATGAAGATAGCTTAAACTAACCTGTATGAGACTTTCTTTAAAGATTAAGTTGAGTACTGGTCACTTAATAAAAAACATTATGATAATAACCTAGAAGCGATAAAATGTATGAAATGTTACTTATTATATTCCTTCTAATGTACTAACCCTCTAACATTGAGGAGGCGAGTTGGCTCAGTCGGTAAAGCGTCTGCCTGTCGAACCAAAGATCCCGGGTTCGATTCCCACCCAGGCAGATGTCTGAAGTCTGCGTTGTGTGTTAACGTGCCCCTTCCCTTGTTCATAGACGCAAGTTATGTCAAGTGGAAAACACTCCGTCCCTCGGATAGGACGTTAAATGGAGGCCCCGTGTACAGGAGAGTCACCACCCTTGCACGTTAAGAACCCATTGCACTATTCGTATAAGAGTAGGGGAAAACCCCGGTGTAATGGTCTACCTGCACACCCCAATCAGGCCGAGTATACGGCATCTGCAAGAATCTTCAGTATTGAAGGAGGCAGATTATCTTGAAGAAGAAGTGGACATGCAAAACACCATGAACGAATTCTCAACGAAGATATTTATGGTTTTCTTTGAAGGCGTCACTGTGCGACACCCTCTAACAGTATATTCTCCCTACCAGTTTTGAATTTTCCCAACCATTTTTCCATGAAAATGAGACATAAGACAGGCTTTAAAAAATCTTTCTTCTTTGGTATGAAGAGTCAATTCATTGTTTTGTGACGATTAACTTACCTTAAGTTCGTTTAAAAATCGAAGTGGGTCTCTTCTGTATCCAGTCATATAAGGCTAAAATGTTATTTTCTATTTCTAACCACGTTGCATCACGTTGGAATCGTTCTGGACTCAAGCACCTCGTATATACTTGACAAAAATAAACAGAACCACCCCCATCGATCTTTGAACAGGCTTAAGCGCAATCATTCAATTTACTTTCCTTCAAACGCAAATCATAGATTCTTGAAAACTGTTAACAAAGTCCTTTCATTATATTTCTTCCATCTTATAATGAAGCAACAGTTCCTGAAAGTGTTCACCAAGTCATCTCTTAAAGCAATTCGTCTATCCTTGAAACACCATCCCTGGATTAAAAGAGGATTTATCGTGTCTATGACATAAACGGAAGCTTCTTCCTCCTAACAATGCTTCAAATACCACTCTATCATATCTCCACTTCTGAATCAACGGATTTCCCTCGACAGGAAATCATAAAAAATCTCGCTTTTCATCAAAGAAAATCATAATCACATGATCGAGTCTTCATTGCTATGTTGCTTGCCACGACTGCATTGCTTGTTATGAGAAAGATACCTTAGTCATACCTCAGTCACCACGCCGAACTGACTCCATACCGACAGATTCTTGGCCATTCTGGGGGTAATGTAGTTATTTTGTTCGGTCAGTTGTCGGTCTAACGTCGGTCTCGTTGGTCTCTGTGGACTGGGGCATCTCACCGACGAGATCGACGAGACCGATATTAGATCGACACAAGACTGACAATAGACAGGATTGACTGAACCAGGAAGATGAAGATGCTTATAAAGCTCTCTGACTGAAAAAATACATTACATGAACCGAAATGGTTAAAAATCTGTCAGTTTGGAGTCAGACTAACTCCCTCCCCCCCCCCCCCCCCCCCCCCCCCCCCAACCAAAAAAGGCTTCTTCTGTAGGTCTTTGAGGAAATCTACAAATAAATCAAGCAAACAAAAGTGATTCGCACCAACTTATAAAAACAACCAATTGAGATAAATAGTAATGCGGGTTCATGAAGGTTATGTA